CACACCCACCCACACCCGCACCCACCTACACCCACCCCCCCACACTCACACACCACCCGCACCCACCCACACCCACACCCACACCCACACCCACCCTAGCCACACATCCACAGCCAGATCCTCAAGAGGAAACAGTCACATTACAACCCACACTCATACTCACACCTACATTCCACACACCCATATCCATACCACCTACAGCCATATTCCACACTCACACTCTTACTCCACCTATATATAAGGTAAGTGCGCGAGCAAATTACTATTATTGTTGAGTAAACATACAAACATTATCTTGTTGCATTTTTTCACATGAATTGCTAGAAAGAAAAATCAATGAATACCATAGCCGGATTTGGCTTAACTTTTTTGAACTACGTTTAAGTATCCTTAATATACGTTACACTCTGAATACTCCCATGACGACAAAAACAGAAAACGTAAAGTAGAATCTGTCGATTTTCGTCTTGAACAAATGAATCGATAAGCGTGCAATGATTAGAAAAACTGATTATATTCTTAATGGATACAAACGAGCTCTCATGATTTTACAACTTTCTTCTTTCTCTATTAACATTCAACACAAGATAGGCGTCAGCCTTCGTCACATTGCTTTTCTTTATTCAGCGAGAAATTCTCTCTCATAAATGCCTCTATCACTATACTACACTTTTACCATACCTATCTACATTGATGATGAAATATCTCAACATCGAAGCAGTTCAATTGAACCTGGGGTTCATAAAAAAACGATCGCCTGTTGAGTCTGTCTAAAGTGAAATTGTCCCATTATATATAGAGAAACTTAAAGTACCAGTGATGTAAACCAATGAGATGGTCACCATAGATGAAAGTATCACAGCATTCTCTACAAGAATGAAAGTTCTACCCAGAACTAAAATGTGTTCGGTAGCCTCTACAGAACTCTTTTTAGTTCTGTGTAGAGCCGAAAAAGTTCTAATTTTTTTATTCGCGCTCAGAATTTTCTATGTTTCAGAGAATATTTTCTTCGCAAACAATCGCATTGAAAGATAGAACAAACAAAGAAATATGCACACAGGATTGATTTGATGCAAGACTCATTATTAACGGGCGTAATTCACGTACTGTGACTGCACTGTATGAAGTCCTTTAATTTTTTTTTCTTATAAACTCAGTAATTTGGATTCGTCTCACGAATATCTCTAGCGTTTCACGTAAAAATTTTAATTTAATTGTTTCAGAAGCAACATGTCGTAACATTGTAGACATAGTACACAATGAAACACATGTATGTGTAATTTACTTCTTATTTTGACGAATACTAGAGCACGCAGGTGTGGATGAAGAGAAGGCTCTCCCCTTCCATCACTGTCCCGCAACATCACAAAAACCTAAGTCTCGTCCATCGTTCCATCATCACCCTTATCGTTTGATTTCCTCACACACACACCTTCACATACATATATCCAACCTCACACCATTCCACCATATACTAACACGCCACATTCACACATTTCATCCTCACCCACACTCTCAAACGAGAAAAATAAATAAACAAGATCGGAAAAAAGTTTTTATTATTTAATATGTTGATTAATTACACCATAGTAGAGATGATAACATTAGTTACTGTTATATGTATTAGAGATCACTTAGTTTAATTTGATATAGAATAATAACTTGGCGGAGGATATTCGGCATGCATAATTGTTTCCGGATAGTAAGAAAGAGAATTAGGCCACAAATTGGTTGCGTCATTTAGCTGATGTTCACTTGGTTTTGTATTGGATTCAGTTCCTATTGTAATGGGTATACTGACATCGAAATTTGTAAACATGCCTTCAGCTTTAACATCAAATTCTAGAAAGTAATTAATATGTACGTTAGTCGTATGATGAAAACCGCCATTAAATGCATATGATGGAGCTATATGTGTAAGTGGAATAACTAATGAAAATTTTTGCATGATGTGCTCCTCTTTTGTATTAACAATTGTGGGCAGAATTGTTTCAACGATTTTTTCTTTTTTCGTATTACACTCAATTCGATAGTGCTGAATCAAAGTTAAATAAATTTGTTTCAATAAGGTTTTTTCCGGATTTTCAATTTCTAAAGTTCCTGTAATCATCTCACCGGGTACATAATCTAATTTGTTTATATTGCCTTTCAGAGTAACATGTTTTCGATTATGATTATCAAATATAGATGACGTTAAAAACTGAGGATTATTCAATAGATTGACACATGGAAACACTGTCAACCAGAGAATTTCATTGGTGTTTCGTTTGTACCAAGGCTTATCGATAACAAATTTTAAAGAATATCGAACATGTGGATATTTGCGCGGTTCATTGATTGTAGGTGGAAGTTGAGATGGCAATGGAATTTCAAATCGCCATGAATGCTGTCCAGAATGATAAACTAATTCTTTTTCTCTTAATCCTGGACTTTCCAAGATTTTTTTTTCTGAAAAAAAAGATATTGTATGATAATCAGTTACTGTATGTATTGAACCGTTTGATTCGTGAACAGTACGAGTTGTTGTATAACCAGTTTTGCCTTTCAATACAATAAATATTTCGTCGACTTTGACTTGTCCTTCTTTGATATTAACATTGGCTGTTCCTGATACTAATTCACCCGCATAAAAGAATGGATTCGTTCGATCAAGATTAAGGGTAACATGGACACTATTACTAGAGCCCATTTTCGTCTGAAAATCTATCTAAAGAAAAGTTGATAGAATAAATTTCAGTCACAAAACAAAGAAAACAGTGAACAACGAAAAAAAAACAATTCATCTTTTATATTTCTAGTCTTAGTAGATCATGTGGCAACAACATAGTCAACAATTCTAAACTTGTATAAGTTTTGTTGTAATTTTATTTCTCTGCATAATTCCTGTCAAAAGAATTTTAGAACAAAGGGTGTGGGTGTGGGTGTGGGCGTGAGTGTGGGTGTATGGGTGTGGATCTTCTAATATCTCACATCCACACCCACATCCCACATCCCACACCACACCCACACCCACACCCACACCCACACCCACACCCACACCCACACCCACACCCACACCCACACCCACACCCACACCCACGCCCACGCCCACGCCCACGCTCNTGTTTTTCTTTTTTTATTGATATTATCTTTGCAATAGTATTTTAAATGTTTCAGTAGAATTTCATCAAAATTTTTTGAGTTACACTTTTAAATTCATCAAAAACTCTTTGAAGATCTTCTCACATTAATTAATCAAATTATACATAATTCTATAGGGTGTAGGTGGGTGTGGGTGCGGGTGGGAGTGGGGTGTGGGTGTGATTTTTAGTCTTCATGTCATCCATTCCCACAGCCACACACACCCACACCCTTTTTAGACAAATCACTCAAACTATTAATGATTAATTTGAAAAGAAGTATTTCACTAACTAAAAATGGTCATATTCAAATATATATATTATTGTAATACAAAAAGGGGTAGAAGAATAATTCTTTTATGAGTTTATGAAAGTACAATATACAGGGTGTGGGTGTGAGTGTTAATCTTCTCTTTATTCATAGCCACCTCCACACCCACACCACCAACACCCTATAGAATTATGTATAATTTGATTAATTAATGTGAGAAGATCTTCAAAGAGTTTTTGATGAATTTAAAAGTGTAACTCAAAAAATTTTGATGAAATTCTACTGAAACATTTAAAATACTATTGCAAAGATAATATCAATAAAAAAAGAAAAACAAATAAAACAAAAAGTTGCTCTATCTGAATGACAAAGGTATATGATGACTAAAAAATATTTTTTGCAATTACCAATACTCAATGCTGAGTTTTTTTAAAGGACTCATTTCATATGAATACACATCAACTTAAAAATAAAACAGTAAATGAGTGTTTCGTATAGAGAAAAAACAATTTTTCTACCATTGTTTCTTCCAACCTTTAAGTAAACGATGATTTTTTTGTCCTTTCGAAAACAAAGATATATTTTATAGACACTTTGAATTCATCGTTCAAAATAAAGTATCTGAATCTGTATGATTCTCTTAATGCATACAAGTAAATCTACATCCATTCATCCAGAATTAAGACATTTGAAATCATCTTCTGATTGCAGATCATTTCTAAGAAACAACAAATTTTAATAATAAACTAAATAACTTCAATAAAAGATAAAAAAGGGTGTGGGTGTGGATGTGGGTGTCTGTAGAAATACGACTGATATCTACAGACCCACACCCACACCCTTAGTACATCTTCGCAGTCTTTCTGCTGTTATTTCAATAAATCGTCGTGGTTTTTTTAATAATTATGACAGAAGAAAATGGAAATATGACGTACAGCGACAAATTAAATTTTTATTCCAGGTGAAAGATGATATAATAACAGTTTGGCTTGACCAAGTTGCATTCGAAGAATCATTCTGACAAACATTTGTTGTAAAGCCATCAGAACCAACGGCTTGGTCAGTTCTAGCTTTAGCTTCGAATATTTTAGTGAACAATGAAACTTCGGACGTTCAGAAAAAGAAATGAAAGTTCTCTTTTTTAAACTTGTTCAAATAAAAATACTTAATCTTGCTCGTCTTACCAGTACTTGTATTCATTATTGTAGAAATTATGATTTCCCTTCGATGGATGATGTATGGGTGTGAGTATAAGTAAGATGAGAGACCGTCCGCACCCACGTTCTCATAATTTATGTTATTAAAATGCTTGTTTTTATGAAAAAAATGAACAAGGATCAAGTTCAAGTTTATTTGACTCTTAGACAATTAAAAAAGTTTTACGTATGATAAACAACAATGAGAGAAATCAGTAAAAATAATTCATTTTTTTCTACTGTAAAGTAATATTTATGATTCCAATCCTGTACTGCGTTCATTTGGAATTATATTCAAAGCATGAACTCGATTTTCAGTTGAATTAAACCACTGTCTTAATGATGGCCACCATACTTTCATAAACAAGTGTTTCACTTGATGCCGAAATCGTGATGATGTCGCAGCAAATATGTAAAAGTTCAACTATGAAAATAATTATTCTAAACATTAAAATAAAATGAATAATTATAATCTTACAGCATTATTGCAAATCATTATTAACGCAACGATTGTTGTAATTAATTGAACTGTCGCATATTGAAGACTACCAACTGGATATGCAATGTTTTTGACTGCATAGATTCGATAAAATGTGTATGGTAATAGAATAGCAACAAACATAATGACTCGGACAAAAATCATTGCTGTCAATTGCTGATCAAGTTTTCGACGTTGAATAGGAATTTGTCGTCGAATTATATGACGAACATTGCGATAAGCCAATAAACTGAATACAGTTGAAATTGAAATTGGTAGAAATCCATTTAAAAAAATATAATAAACAAAAGAATAATAATATTTTAAACCTTCATTGATTATTATACAACCAAATGGAGAAACAACATTATAAAAAATAATATAAGGTATTGTCTGCATAATGCATAAAATACTTGCTACAATGATTGAATATCGTGCAAGTTTTAATGTACTCATTTGTCGGAAATAAAGACGAGGATTAGTTGAAAGATATTGATCTAATGCTTCAAAACATACTATAAAATCAATCAGAAGTCGAAGTGATTGATTCAATGTCGTTTTTATTTTACAAAAGAAAGGAGAGATATTTGCAGGATCAGTTTGATACATTAATTGAAATATTTGAAGAATACACGTTTGAATAAATACATATATACCGATAACAGATTCAACAGTTAAGTAATAAGTACAACGATTACCTTTGAAAAGTTTCACTTTAGTAAATACAAAAATATTGAGAGTATTACCAACAAGAGCGGCAACGAAAATAATAAATAAGCCATAAAAGCTTAATTTTTGTGCGATATCAAGAATTTTTAAAGGAACTGACGACGAGGGCATTGTATTTTTTGTAATGAATGTGAATAGAATCTTCCTTCTTTTCCCAATCTTTCTTTATTTTTTTATCAACTTTATATGATCGATTAACTTCTTGAGAATATATAGAAAAAAATAGTTACGAATCACAATGCCACAATTGGATAATACAACAGTGCTATAAGACATTAGCAAGAAAAAAGAGAGATGTGTATAAGTTATATACAAAAAGATTAAATGAACACAATAAAATTTAGTTTACAATACAATTAAATATAGTTGCATGTATCTGTCCTCATTTTTTGTTTTATCCAACTGATTTTTCCTTCTACTCATTCTTAACTACTGTTACAAATAGAGCATGATGAATACATGATTTTAATATCTTGATAAGTTAGTATAGCTTAACTAAGTACACATGCTCGAAAAACCTTATTTAACAATTGGCAACATAAAAATGATTATTGAAGAAATGAACGTAGAAGTAGTTAGATGATTTCATCTATAGTCAAATAACTACCATCTCATATAGTTAAGGTATTTGAATTAAGAATATATATTTCAATTAAAATGGTAACGATAAATTGTGACTTACGATATAAAAAAGAAAGACGTATAGTTAAATCGTTGCTTTTTGTCTCTCATTTCTTATAAACATCGTATTATAATTGAACTTCTACTTTAAAACTTGTTCAAGTGTAATTTGAGGGCGTTTTAGTCACACTATTCTTAACTTTTCTTAGGAAGTAGACTACCTAGAGTTGATTATTTCGTTGGATGACGCATCACTGTCTTACATTGAAGTTCTGAAAATATGAGCTCGTATGAATGGATGACTTGAAAATTATTACAAAAATGCAGAGACCATAAAGTGATGATTAAAAAAATGAGAATCTACGTGTTGTAATTAGTTTTTTTTAACAGGTTTCCTTTTCTTTTTCTATAATGATCACCTCAGTCAAAATCATAAGAAAAAGCAACAAATGGACCATTAGATCCATCAATCTGAATGCCATGGATGACTTATAAGACATGAGTCGTTTTTGCATTGACTACCGTTTTTCATTGAAAGGCTTTATCTAAATTTGAATATATTGTAGAATACAGTGAAGTGTCCTTTTTATTTTGCCATTAACAATGTTATTTCAGATATATAATCTTTCTTCCATAGAGGAGTAAGGCCGCAGTACTATGTCGATGCACTGAAGAGCTGTACACCCAGACCTACATTCTTACCTATTCATTTTATCACAATTGAAAATAAATTTCAACCAAGTCGAACATGTTAAACGAAAAAGAAAATCAGATTCTAATTCTTCTTCAGGAATAAGAGACTATTTTGACTAGGGATGCACCAATTCCAATTCCTGGAATTGGTTTGGAGGGTGTGGGTGTTGAGCTTGTTAACATGACAGTTCTACCCACACCTACATCCACTCAAACCCACCCACACCCACACCCACACCCTCTGTGTACTCTCACAGTTATCAGAAAAAAAAGGATTATTAGATATACATATATCGCTAAATACAGTTCACATTTTTTGACAAAATTTACATATTTTATTTTCATTTCATGTATATCTAACAGTCCTTTTCTTCTCTTATTTTTTTCTTCTGATAACTCTGAAATTACATACAGAAATCTCCTAATAAAAAATAACTAGTGTTCAATATTGAAAAAATTTTCAATGTATTTTATAGCACTCAAATACTCAATTATTCATTCATTAATATCTACTGCTCTTCAAGTGAATTTATTTTTCAATGGATTTCATGTGCTACTAATTTGTCCCCTTATGATAGCAAATGGCAAGAGGGTCTAAAATACAAATAGTTGTAATTGCGTAACTGGGAGTAATGAACGTTAAACTTTAATTACTTAATATTATTTCATTTAGTTATATTGCTCACATCTTACACGACGAATACGGCGATGAAAAACTATCTATATCCTAAAAATGGTACATAAAGTTTGCAATCCATAGAAAGATATTATTCTGTTCACTTTTTAATAACATTATTCCTAAATCACTTATCAAAATTTCTGTAAGCATGCATGAAAGGATCACGATCATTCATTCATGTAGGCTTCTCATACATGTCTTGTGAAGACTATTCTATAATTATTCAATAATTTTATTTAATCTGCTCATTGCTCTAAAAAATTCTGTATTTAATTTAAACGAAAATATTCTATATACATGCAGCAAGAGGTTTACAGTCTATTGATCTACACAAAAGCTTGTAACTTAAGTGCGTGGACGAAAACTCTATTAAGACGCAGTGAAAAATATTTTCTTTGTGTTCAATACTTTAAAATTCATTCCTAGACAAAACATAAAAGTTCTATTGTCATGCAGTAAAAGATTCGATTCTTCCGTTTATGCAAAGACTTCCTCTCTATTTCTTATGAAGACAATTCTGTTGATACACAGTTAAATATATTTTCATTCTGTTCATTAGTTAAAAAAAAATGTATATTCAATTCATGCAAAAATTCTATTGACATGCAGTAAAACAACTTTTTATTCTAATCATTCATACAAAAATTTCTATTTTTAATTCACTTTAAAATATTCTAATGTAAACTAACCTTGTGAAAAATGTTCTGGTACTTCTTCCGATCAACGACACCGCGGCACCCACATTCTTTGATACTCCCTCCGCTCTCTTTGATGTGTGTTGTAAATTTAACCAATACGATGAAGATGTCGTCGATCTGAAGAAGAACCGAACAATGTTACGACGACTGAAATTAACGCGCAGAAACACATAGCAGTAGATAACTATTGGTTAGTGAAATCTACTTAAATAATTAACTAGGGAAAAAGTGAATTGTCAGAAGAAAAAAACAATCGAAATAGTTATTATTTTTAGAATCTTTTCTTTGCGAGTTAACTGTTCTTTATGTTTTCTGTTGCTTTTCTTGTATACTAAATCCAATGGAAATGGATTATTAAATAAAGATAAATTATTACCTGCCATCGACCAAAAAATATCCTCACATTAATAAAATAAAACACACTTGACTGTTTAAGTGCATTTATTGTATATCGAATATCATCTTTTGCTACATAAATAGTCAAACTTTTTTCGGCCGGTTTTTTCAAGGATTCCAATCGAATTATTTGTTTCTTTTCATTTTCTTACCTTGAATGACTTAACACATCTTTGTACTGTTTTCTATAGAAAAGCGGATGTAAATATGCCAGCGATGACAATGTTTTCAGTAGTATCACAAAATTCATCGATAGCAACACACAGACGTACATCTTTTTTTGCACAAATTTATTGGATGGAACTTATCATGAAACAACATAAGAAGTTGTTTTACTGCATGTCAATAGAATTTTTGCATGAATTGAATATACATTTTTTTTTAACTAATGAACAGAATGAAAATATATTTAACTGTGTATCAACAGAATTGNGTTACTAATTTACAATCTATTATGCAAAAACTTGTTTTTCAGCCTGGAACTGATATTAAATTTCTTCCTGTTCATAAATCTTTTTTGTTTTCAGTACTCTAATCGAAGTGGAAGCACTTAGTCATAATAAATAGATAGCTGCTTGCTTTACTTTTAGTGTACTTTGGATAGAATGTTATATTAGTTAGTATTAACAAGCAGTTTCTCTTCAATTAATTTTTCTTTATGCCAATTCATTAAAATGTATGATATATCTATGTTAAAATGCATTAACTTGTGTAAATTTCTTGCATACAGACGTTAAAACATGTTCATTACTCTAATATCTTCGTTAAGTGCGTTAAACACAAAAAACCGTTTTCACACGTTTATTTCTTGAAGTTGCCTAGTAAACGAGTTTTATAGCGTTGTTTTCTTA